CAACTTGACACCATTGCTCCTTGTTCTGTCATCTGCCGCCACTGAGAACAACCTAGCTCCATCCTCTTTGGAACCTCTGGGGCACTCTGCTGGATACCAGCTGCCAACTAGACATCAAGCTGTTGATCATTACCCATTGAGCCCGATGATCTAGCCAGCTTTCTATCCACTTTATAGTCCATTCATCCAATCCATACTTTTATTACCTTGCTGGCAAGAATACTGTGGGAGACTGTATCAAAAGCTTTGCTAAAGTCAAGATATATCACATCCACCACTTTCCCCACATCCACAGAGCCAGTTATCTCATCATAGAAGGCAATCGGGTTGGTCAGGTATGACTTGCCCTTGGTGAATCCATGTTGACTGTTCCTGATCACCTTCCTCTCCTACAAGTGCTTCAAAATGGATTCCTTGGGGACCTGCTCCTTTCCAGTGACTGAGATGAGGCCGACCGGTCTGTAGTTCCCTGGGTTCTCCTCCTTCACTTTTTAAAAGATGGGCACTATATTTGCCTTTTTACAATCATCACCTACCGCTATCACCATGAATTTTCAAAGATAATGGCCAATAGCTCTGCAATCACATCAGGCAACTCCCTCAGATGCATTAGATCCGGACCCATGGACTTGTGCACATCCAGCTTTTCTAAATAGTCCTTAACCTGTTCTTTCACCACTGAGGGCTGTTCACCTCCTCCCCATACTGTGTTACCCAGTGCAGCAGCCTGGGGGCTGACCTTGTCTGTGAAGACCGAGACAAAAAAAGCATTGAGTACTTCAGCTTTTTCCACATCATCTGTCAGTATGTTGCTTCCCCCATTCAGTAAGGGTCCCACACTTTCCCTGACCTTGTTGCTAACATATCTGTAGAAACCCTTCTTGTTACCCTTCACATCCCTTGCTAGCTGCAATTCCAGTTGTGCTTTGTCCTTACTGTTTATACCCCTGCATGCTCAAGCAATATTTGTATACTCCTCCCTAGTCATCTGATGAAGTTTCCACTTCTTGTAGGCTTCCTTTTTGTGTTTAAGCTCATCGAAAATTTCTCTGCTAAGCCAAACTGGTCGCCTGCCATATTTGCTATTCTTTCTGCACATTGGGATGGCTTGTTCCTGCACCCTCAATAAGGCTTCTTTAAAATACAGCCAGCTCTCCTGGACTCCTTGCCCCCTCATATTAGCCTCCCAGGGGATCCTGCCCTTCAGTTCCCTGAGGGAGTCAAAGTCTGCTTTTCTGAAGTCCAGGGTCCGTATTTTGCTACTCTCCTTTCTTCCTCTTGTCAGGATCCTGAACTCAATCATCTCATGGTCACTGCTGTGGAGGTTGCCACCCACTTCTACTTCCCCTACCAATTCTTCCCTGTTTGTGAGCAGAAGGTTTAACGCTGTCCTACGTCTGCAAGAGTCCTATGGTCTGCTGCTTCTTGGGAGCCCAAGAACCTTCCTTAGAACCAATCTCTGCCTCACTGGATGTGGAGCCTTGCACTGCTCCCTATACCCAGTGAATCCAAAGCAGGACAAGGTGTTTCATTTATAAAACCAACACAGGATGCATGAGGTTTTGCCAGCGATCAACCCTCTTGCTCCAGCCTATCCCATCTAGTGTGGGCAGTGTGAGCAGCAGCGATGCCTGCCTGGTGTTCTTTTCTGCCTTCGGGTGTGCGCAGGAATGAGCAGGCAAGGTTGGTGTGTCTTACTGTGTCCATCCCTCTCCTTCACAGAGCACATGTGGGGGTTTGGGGCTGTTCCTAGAGATCTGCATGGCCTCTTGTCTCTGAATTCTTCTGGGGGAGTTCCCCTAGGTGCCCCTATGGCGGCAGGCTGTGCATGTGGGGAGCCCATGTTGTTGGGTTTGCTCTCTGTGCCTTTGTATGCTCAAGTGTCTGTTTTTAACATGATTCCCTGGGCAACACTTAATTTACTGCAGCCTTAGGTTAAATTCACTGAGTAACTGGGCCCCTTCTCAGCTAGGGCACCACTATCGAGTTGCTGATCCAAAGCCCTGGATGTCCTTAGAGGGATTCCAGGGAGAGCAGCCAGCTGAGCTTTGGGAGCTAATAGGTTTTCAGGGCTGACACCCCTCCCCAGGCCAGCCAGAAAACCCTTGAAGAGAGTGAGCGGGGCAGGGGTGGACTCTGCCAGGGAAGTTTCATGGAGTCCCCCTGCTGTTCCCCTCCTCTGCATGGCTTTTCTGCAAGAGAAATTATTGCCTAACTCAAATGATTCATACACACAAGTAACAAGCATAGATCTCTCTCTCATGCAGACGCACACACCGCCCCCCTCCACCCCCCCAGTCATAAGGTTAAGATAACTTGCTGAGAGACTGGCTGATGTTTTACCAGTGTTTGCTTCCCTCTTATGACAGCACCAGAGTCAGTTTACTCTGCTCCTGATGGTTTTTAAAAGGAGGGTGAAGGCTGAGCAGACTGCATTGGGCTAGGCTATGTTTGGGAAAATCTTGTGTAAGTTGCTGATAACATCCAGCAGCACAGACCATGCAATGGTCACACTCTGATGGGACAGTTGTGCAAGAGGCTTTATGTACTCAGGAGGTATGGTGGGAATTTTTCCAGGGGAACTGTGCATTTGGTAGAAAATTGAGTTTTTGACTAAACAAAAATGTGCATGGAAAAAGTCTGCTTCCTATGAAAAACCTGAACTCTGAACCCCCAGGGGTGGGGGAAAAGTGTTGTGATGAAAAGGTGAAAATGTCCACATGGAAAAAAAAAATTTTCCAGCCAGCTCTATTTCCTGAGAGCAGCAGCACGGCCCTGTTCCAATGTCCTCTAAGGTCAGTAGGAGGCTCTTCACTGTCTGCAGGGGGCTTGGGGTCAACATAGGAAAATAGGGATGAATAAGATCATACAATTGGCAGTGCTATTTCTAAGATCTCTGTTCATGCTTTCCCCATCCTGAACATGAAGGGAAAGAGTGTGGTTGGACCGTACAAAGAGGGGGGGGCAATTCACAGATCGACTCTCCCATGTGCAACGTGCCAGCTCTCCCTGGAGAGCCAGCCCCGCCCCCATAACCTCAACCAACAGCTGCATCTCTGATGGAGAAGGCCCGCAGGCCAGCCCCCTGCATCCCAGGCACTGGTACGGCAGAGGCCTAAAGCAAGTCAAGGCTAATCACACTTCATATTAGTCAAACAAACCGGTGGACTGTTCAGAGCTGCTGAGGCCAGAAGGGAGGCCAGTGATTATCTAGCCTGACCTCCTGCATAGCCTGAGGGCTGTAGAACTTCCCCTCCAGGGGTTCCTGCATCAAGTCCCGGAGCTTGAGGAGGAACTAAGGGCTGTCTTGTTTAGAATGGTGTCTTTTAGAGCTTGACTGGACTTGGGTTACTCCCCCAGCCCTGGGGAATCTGTTTCTGGGTCAATTAAACTCCTGTATAAGCATTTTTCTCTTTATTTCCTCTATGAACTTTGCTGAGTTCAGCTTCCAGCCATTGGATCTCCTTCTGCCATTACCCTCTAGCAACACCCAGCAGAGTTAGATTCCCCCGTATACGACTAAAGGGGCTAATTACATTCTATTGGCACAGCTGTTGGCTCTGGCCCAAAGCTAAGCATTCCAACACCTACTGAATACTCCTCTTCACACACCCACAGGTTGGCATGCTGCTTTAATAAAAGCTTTCGTATACAATTCCAATGTTCCATAGCTTGGCCAGAAGTATTGCCTCAGGTTCTGGTTTGCTGGCTTACAGTTCTGCCTTTGGGGTGGACTCCAGTGGTCCTGCAAAGCTCTCCATTGCACAAAAGGGGAAAGATTGTCACTCTAACATACACAGCATAGTCCAGTCCATTGCTATCATAGGTCATTGCAACATCAAGGCTGGGATTTGCACAGGAGCCTGTGGGAATTAGGCACCCAAAGCCAATTGAAAGGGAAGGGGAGCTGGGTGCCTAAGCCCCTTAGGCTCCTCTGAAACTCCCCTCAAAATGATTGCCCATTAGGGTTGTAAATTGGATGTGTGGGGCTCAGCGGTAGGCAATGAGGAGAGGAATTTTTTGCTCTCCATTCACCGCCTTTGGTCTCACTTCTCTCCTCCTCTTGGAGACCTCCTCCAGCAGCTGAGTGAAAGATCAGGCAGTGTCTCTACAGCCACCCACAAACCCTTTTTCCTGCAACCATGGGTTTATGGAAGTGAACTAGGGAATGGGCCATGCCCTCTGCTTCCATGACTGTTTCCCTCCCCCCACCCCACATTCTTCTCTTCTCTTTCCTGGTCCACATGGGGCTCTCAATAATTTGGTTTGTCTCATGGTCACGTTCTCTCCTCCATTCTTAGTCAGTAGTAGGGCGAGGAGGAAACTCTTGTGGACATCTTTCTCTGAGTTACAAGCAGGACTCCTTCCGGCTTGGGTGAGAACTTTCCTTTCAGATAAACCAACCTGCCATGCACGAGAGTGGCAAGAACCTCTCCACGAAGCTGGAAGCCAAGGTACGGGGTCAGCTAGGAGAGAAAACACACCAGCCATTGCAATGCAAGCTCTTCACTGGAATGTTTTGCCACAGGTTGCCAGATATTGACATAACACCCAAGCCCCATGCTCATTCGTGTAAGCCATTGCTATGGGTCTTCCTCTGCAAGAGGAAACCAATGATACAGTCAACAAGGTGGTTGAATATCCTCTCACTACAAGACAGTGTCCTTTCAGGTGCATTGTTGGGCAGTGTAAGGAACTCCATGACTAAACAGAGATGGCAATTAGAATCCCTACAGGGTCTGAGACATCATTTGTACTTCTGTAAGATTTCCTTACAACTAGAAGCCAAAGGCGTGTGTTCTACAGTAGGC